ATATATAACAAAGTACCGAGATTAACTATTTTTAATGACCAAATACTTATTTTCCACCATGATTTTCAAATAAATTCTTTAAAAAAATCAGACAATGTGATTTTCTAGATGTTTTCTCATTTTGTCTCATAGTTGAGATCTACTTATAATGTCACTTACAGGCCTCTCATCTTTTTAAGTGGGAGAACTTGAACAATTAGTGGCTGACTACTTTTTTCCACACTGTAGYTAACTTAATATGTAGAGCTAATATTGACAAAATCTTTGTGTAGGCAGTGTAGGCAGAWTGTAAAYGTTAGTGACRATAAAAGTTTAAAGTTGTCCCCACTGTCTCTGAAAGTAAAGCACTGCTGAATTTGCAAGTTGCTGTACGCTTTCTCCTGGTTGTTGTTGTTTTATAATATTATTTATGAATAATGTAGCCAAACATTTTTCTTAAAAATTTGAAGACCTATTTTATCGCTCCCAGAGAACCACTGCTTACTTTCCTGGAGTGCTGCGAGTGAAGAGAGTGGGGATGGGTGTCAGCCGGTAAATAGCAATGAGTCAGCTTTGGATTTGAATCAGTATGTTTTAAATCCAATGAAAGCAAGAATGTTAACTAATAAATTGGACAATAATCTGGCTATTTAGTGATATTTCCACAGTTGTGGTCTTGATTGGTCTTGAAATAAAATTCTGAGTCCTCAGTATCCGAGATCGAGACAAGACCGAGTACAAACGCTGTTGAGTCCAAGACAAGACCATCAAAAAGTGATCTTGAGACCGCTCTTAAGACCAAGACCGGTTTCAAGTACTACAACACTAGAGAATAAAGTCGTAATACTATACCCTTTACATGAAAAAGCATGCAGTTACCACTGCATTAAAATGAGGAATGATGAGGAACTTGTCAAATTGTTTTTTAATATTGCTTAAAATAAATAGTTAATCTTTTAGCACATCAGCATCAAATTATCAGTAGCAGGACATGGAAATTGTGCAAATGACTATATGATAAACTGAAGCATGCATTGACAGATTTAGTCGTCACGTAGCTAATTTGGATGAAAGCATATTAATCTAACAGTGACCCAAGTCATCACAGACTACTTTAAAAACAGACACATGGCTGTACACAGCAGGTGTGAGGAAAATAAGGAGGAAATGAGGAGCAGAAAATGGACACGTCATGCAAGATTGACTTTTTTTCTCATAATATAAAAACTTAAACAATTTACAAACTAACAAATTACAACTTTATTCTCGTAATAATAATATAAAAAAATCTCATTGTGTGTCCCTAATACTCCGTCAGAGATTACAAAGCTATGCTGAGATAAAAGGAAAAAGTAACGTCCAAGAAATGTAATGAAGACAAAAGTACAATATTTGTCTTTGAAACGTAGTAAAGTGAAAGTCATAAGTTCCAAAAATAAAATTACTCAAGTTAAGATACTCAAAAATGTACTTAAGTACAGTACTCAAGTAAATGTACTCTGTTACTGTCCACCACTGGCAATATGTTAGTAATTTAAACTTTATTGGAGAACTAAATCAATGCAGTCTGGGTACAGGATGGATTGGTGATCAGTGTTGTATAAAGTACCTCAAAGTGATACTTGAGTAAAAGTACAAGTAGCTTATCATAAAAATACTTTGGTAAAAGTTAAAATTTTCTCTAAAAATATTAGTTGAGTTAAAGTCTTAAAAGTATCTGATATTTTTTGTACTTAAGTAACAAAAGTAAATTTCTGACACAAAATCTACTTAAGTATTAAAAGTAAAAGTACTGAGTAAAAGTGAGCAGTTAGATTTTCCAAAATGACATTTATTGGGAGGTGACTTCTCCAAAAATATATTTTCTAACAGCGTGCAGCTGTGATGGGTTGTGTACAAGCTAATAGTGTGTCAGAATGGTATATATTTATACTTCTCATCCAACCACAATTAAATTCACTCTATCCAGGAGACAATTTATTAGGATAGTATTTTTTAAGTGATAACAAATCGGAATAAGAGTAACGACTTTCTACTTCTTACCTTTTTAAAAAATGTAGTGAGTAGAAAGTACAGATAATTGTGTAAAAATGTAATAAGTAAAAATAAAAAGTATGCTGAAAATAATTACTCAAGTAAAGTACAGATACCCAAAAATTCTACTTAAGTACAGTAACAAAGTACATGTATTTGTACTTAGTTACATTACAACCCTGTTGGTGATAAGAAGTGACAACACAAAAGACAGGAAACCATCTTCACGTCAAAATAAGAACATGAATTTAAATATTTTCACTACTTATGCTATGGCTCCAGTTAGTTACCACCCATTCTCCATGAGCATGGTTTCACTCTGGTTCAGGTCGGTTCACTTCTGCTCAGGTGTGTGTGTGTCCCTCACTGTGTGTACGTGACAATGGGCGGACCGTCCTCATTGCTGTTAAGGTTTTACCGTTCAGTTTTAATGTAATTTATTTATTTATTGTCATGGTGCTGTTTATGAGTGCTTGTGTAACGGTGAGCGGCCAGTTTGTTCAGATATCTGCTTGGCTTCTCCTCCATAAAGGAAGTGTTTGCAAGTTCTCCCATTCCCAAGATTGCCACTCGCCAGGTTCTCTGCAGGGGGAAGTACAAGTAACGCCATTCCTCCGTCAATCAATCCAAGAGCTAATCCACGGACAGTATTCTGCTGACATCAAAATCGTAAGCGTGCTCTACCCGCTTCTACCCGGGACCATCGGAGAGGAGATACAAACTGTGTGGCTGAGCGTGGTTCTGCATGGGTAGAACCTGGAGATACATTGGGTAGAAGCCAAACCAATCAGAACTACAACAGGAGCGCTGGTGGAGAAGGGTTGAGACTGGGAATGTCACCCAGTGACGTAGCCCCAAGTGCTTCCTGCATAGAATTGTGGGAATTGTCTCTTAAATGAAAACCATGACCCAGAAGGACAGTCAGATAGAGTACATAGCTTCTGAGAACAAATTGTTTTCGGAGGAAGCACTGTTAAGTTACAATGGTTCTGCATTGTACTGACTAGAAATGGCTGTCTCCCCCTGCTGTTAGAGATAATGATGATCAATACTTCATGAAGCAATTTATTTAGAACTAATGAATTTTTAAATTTACATCTGTAATTAGCGCTATAGCACTTTAGAGGACTAGTGCCCACCACTGGTTAACAAAAGCTCATGAAAAAAAAGTACATTTACACTGTGAAACATGCGCATAAGCTTCTGCTGCGTTCAAACCAACATCAGAAGCATCAGGTTTTGACGCCTAAATCGTGTTCGGTGTGAACGCAGCATTAGTCCTAAGAAAAAAAGATAGAAAAAACAGCCAGTAGCTGCATTTCTATTGACCATGAAAATGCGCAAATTAGAATTTCGAAAATAAATTTGCTCAACGGAAATATGTCAGTTTGAAAAAAATTACGTTTTTCAACAAAATGGTTTTGCGCTAGGATGAGGTGGTTTTTTGGCCGTATCAAAATTGATGTATTTCGTAAAACTGCAATGGAAACCCTTTTTTTCGCATCACGGAAGTCGTGATCAAGAACCGKCTGTTTCTACTAGCGAAAAAGACGATGAAGAAGAAGATAACAGGAAGTAAAAGTAGTAGTGAAATCACCGAAGTAGTAAAAGGAAGTGGTAAACTCACAGACTACATTTTCCCAAAAACCCAGCATATGTAGCCACTCCTAAGTATAAGGGGCTTGTCACTCGAAAGCCTCGATATGACGCTGACGCCTCCTCTGATGGCTGATGATGAGCACTAGTGTCGTGGTAGCAATATGCTATGCATTTACATCCATTGCCRCCGTGTTTGTAATGACTTATGAGAACAAACGTATTCACGCGTGAGTTTAATAGCGTTTCTTACTTAATGGAAACACTGCAGTTGCGAAACTGTGTTTTTTCGACATTAACAGAATATCGACAAAGTTTTGTGCACATTTGCAATGGAAATGCAGCTAGTGTGTCCAAACCTTATGACACTTGCAAAACTTAGTGTATTTGAGTTTTTGTGTGTTACCTGATGTGGGCACCCTGACAGATGTTGGACAGAGCTGATGCCATGATTTCAGCAGTTAGGCTCTCAGCATAGCTTGTGCCGTCATGACCAATCCCACTGTCTGCATTAAGGCTTGTGTTACTCAGCTCGTGTTTAGCCGTTTCCATTGCCAGAGACACAACCTCCTCCGCAAATGCTGCCCTGTGGTCCAGGTCAATGTGGATTTTGGGAATCTGAACACCAGAGAGGTGCTCAGGTCCAGAGTGACATTCCGTACCTCGCAACTTTCTTTGTRACTGGTATTGATGCCTGCCAAGTTTGGTGCAATATGGACACTCCTGGACCTGACAATAATGACAGGTCCTCTTTCCTAAAGCTCGAACCACTGCTGGCCTTTGGATATGAGAATGTTTGTCATCCCACCAAGAATGTCCAACTGATGCCAGGCTTATTTTTAGTGTGTCATCCACAATCTTCTTAGCATAATGTTCAATAACCTGCATCACTCCAATGCTGTAGCCACCATCATACAGACTTCCTGTACTGTGGTAATGTCTGCTTTTATTCTCCTTAGACAACAGAGGGCAGGAGAAGGAGTTCCTGATGATATTATCTGCCATGTCTTCAAGTTTAGATTTCTTATAAAGACAAGAGTCAGTGAGAGATTTTGGAAGCCGGACTGAAGAAAGATGTAGCTTGCGTGTAACATCACAGGTGATGTTGTATGCCAAAGACTCAGCAAAGTTGACTAGATCATTGTATTCCCTCTTATTTTGCTCTTTGGGGTCATTACAACAGCAATGAATATCCTCACCTGATCGAAAACCCACTGAGTCTGCTCTGTTATTGGGTGACAAGGTCTCACCGCCAGAAACCTTCCATTTATCTGGCAGAGACCTYGAGGACTGAAGGAGACTGGAAGAGGATGTTTGCTTGATTTTACGACTAGCATGACCTAAGCCCAGTTTTATAGAGCGGTACGCCAAACGACTTGCATATTGGTCCAGGACTAACTCCCTACTGCCRCCCTCTTTTTTCAGCACCCTTATGAGGTAGCCTGCATATTCATCTGTCACACTCTCACAGCTGGGGTACTGAGAAGACAGACCAGAACTGGAGCTGGTGGTAGAAGTGGAGGTTGGAGACCAGGAAACAGAGGCTATCAGGTCATTGGACCACTGCTCAGCCAACCTACCTAATGCCCTGTTTCTGCACTGACCTGTACTCGGTTGAGACTGGTGTCTGTGGTGGTGATGCCAACATWCAGAGCTTGATCTCTCAAAGCTTCTTCTTCTGAGGTCCTGAACTCTGTGATATGGGCATTGCTGTCCTGAGCTCACCAACCTTTTCACATCATTTATAACCTTTCCTGCCACCTCACCAGCATACACCCACAAGGTGTTCAGGGTCTGCTCTGAGAACWGAGACACACTATCTCTCCTCTCACTGCCCTTGTTAATTTTCCCTTCTTCTTCTGACATTCCCAGAGTATCCATCTCTGTTGCCATAGAGACTATGTGACAGGCTAGCCGCTCAGCATAATGGAAAGCTTCCTTGTTAGATATTCTGTGAGTGGGCATTTGGTTGAGATCACACATGTCACTGTTTGCCTCTGAACATCTGTTGGTGCCACGATCACCTCGTTCAACTGGTTCTTCTTCCTCTGCATCTTCTGTGTCATTTGCCTCCTCAGAAAGAGACCTCATCAGGCTGAGCATAAACTCAGCCTTGTCTGTTTCAGGAATTGTATCTTTTGGACCAGGACCTGGTTCAGGCTGATAATGAGGGGTTGGAGGTGGCGTTGCAGGAGAAAACTCCTTGGCTAGCTTGCTTTTCAGCTTCTTGGAGAACTGCTTTATCTGTTTCTCTTTGGAGACTTCATTAGGTTGTTGAGGAGTGGAAGGAGGAGTACCAGGTGTCCCACTAGATTTTTGGCCAAAACTTGGAGCAGAGTCATCCACTGGAGCAGATATCCTGTTCTGTCCACCCACAGCTACACCTGGCACATCAAGAGTATCTACTGTTACAGGATGTGTTTGAGCCACACCTCTCCTCCTGGGATCCATCTCATACTGGACTATACCGCGGTATGAAGAGCCTGACTGAAGAGAAACTGGGGGAATACAAAGGTCTGTTGCTTGTTCAATAGAGTCATCCTGCCACACATATCCATTGTTTTTAAAAGATTCTTGGCCTGCTCCCTGGTTTGAAATGGGATCTAGAGTCTCCTGCTTTGAGGATGAGTCCCTTCGSTTTCCAATAGTCTTTGTAAGAAAATCAGCACAATCGCCAAAGCTTTTCTTCATCTTAGAGGCAGTTATAAGCTCACAAGCCTCAGAAACAATCGTATCTACCATGTTCCCAGAAAAGTTTTGGAATGAAGACTTTCGTTGGGAGGGGTCATCTCCAGATATGAAAGTTGGATGACTGTGAAGGTGAATATGAGAAGTAGTGGTGTCAGATGACAAAACAGCTATTCTTTTGGGACTAGTTCTTGGCCTATCTGGGGAGCTAGAATTACAGGCCTCTTCTGTATCCTGGAGGTGGGAGAGGGCATAACCTGCATGGGGTACAGGAACGCAGCTAGCCATGCCTGAAACAGTGAATAAAGCATTCTTCACTGTGCAGGGAGCCACCTCTCCTGAAGTCGCCRAGGATGCTGAAGTAGAGCTGGCACTGAAAACCTGCTGGTTAGCAAAGGTACTGCAGGTATGAGTGCCGGCGTTCTCTGCTGTGACATAGCACATGTTGTCTAGGGATACACTAATAGCCGCCTGGCTAGTGAAGGCCACATCTGCCTGAGAAAGCTCAATGAAGGCTTCCTGAATTACAGACTCAGACAAGTCTGAGGCATAGGAGCTCACTACCTCCTCCTCCTCATCCTTGTGGCCAAAAGAACAATCACTAGGGGTGAGWGGGGTAGAAGGATGTGAGAACTGACAGACCTCCATGATACCTTCAAACACCAGCTCTTCAGCTAGATCAGCAGCAAATTCTGCCACTGTGTTGTGGAAAATCTGTTTTTTCACAGTGAGGAACTCTTTTAGTGCCCCAGAAACAGCCTCACCAACAAGGAAGCCAGCTAATCCACTAATGGCTCGTTCTTTCAGGACAAAGGCACGCCGCATGCCAATTTCATGGAAGGCCATCTGAAATACTGAAGAMGTGAGTTTGGCAGCCAAATGACATAAAGTAGTGGTGCAGGAGGACACTCCTTTTTGTAGGTCTCGCAGGGCACTGCCTAAACTCATCTCCACCAGGTCAGAAGCAAACTTTTGAATGCCATCTTTTAAAGATTGGGATTTCTTCTGAAGCTTGGCCACTGTTACGGTATCTTGAATGTCTGACAGTTTCATAAAATACCCTGATGAGTTTTTAAACTCCTTGTGGCAAACACAACTGAGATTCTTGTTGTCACTGATGTCAACAGCAGACTGGAAGCCACACACAGATTCCAGAATTTCTTTGGACAGATTGTTTGCAAAGTCTGAGTAGGTCTTGTACAAGGAGCAGAGATCCTGAGGTTTACGTAGCTCTGAGTTGTCCTGATCATCCTCATCTGTTTTCCAGAAATATTCCARTTGTTCACTAGAATCCACCAATGGACTAAAAGCAGAAGAGCTGACAGGACTAAAAAGAGAGCCACCTGTCTCTTCAGGAGGGGTCTGCACAGGCCAAGTGGAGTCAGGAACTTCGGTTTGAACTGAGTAGGGAGAACCTGGTTTTAGAGGAGTGGGTTTTTTCACATTGGCTGGGAGGGTGGGTTGGTCAAARCGATGCGGGTTCATATTCTTGGTTGAGCAGCCCCTGGAAACACACTTTGATGCCGAGCCAATGGAACTAGACTCAGCACATTTTTCCTGTGTRGTTGAAGAACTAATAGGGTTCAAAGGCAGTGTGAGAGTGCAGCTTTCAGAATTCTGCTCGTCCAGGTCATCGAACTGGTCAAAGCTGTCAAAGAACTCACTGACTTCAGAATCTGAGTCTTCTACTCGCTCCCTGGGCCCACCTGGTACCTGGGGGATGTCCARCTTAGCCAGCAGACTCTTCTGGTAGCCTACTTCATCCAGAAAGATGACWGGGCTTGGGCTGGAGCAGTCAGATTCTTCTGACTCACTGATATGAACAGAAGGAAAGGGACGATGAGCTCCAGGACTGCAGTAAGTCCATTGGGTTTCAACACTTGATGGTGACTTTTGCACTTTAACAGACACATCGAATCCAGACCACTGCTTAGCTGTGYACTTCTTGGAAGATGAACTTATAATAACACGGGAGCCTGACAGTTCTTTTCTTCTCCTGTGTGCTGGGATTGTCTGTGATGCCACATCACGCTTTTTGAATTGGCAAAATGGAACTGCAGCTGTGTAAACAGAGAAAAGCGACAAATAGCAGGTCATTTTTTAATAGTAGGAGTAATACATATTAGAACATCATACAGTGTTAAGTATTCTTTTCACTTTTTAGAACAGCTTTTTTTTACTGTCAAATCAAAAGAGATTGCATAATTTTGTCTCAACTAATAAATCTATTAGTTCTATAAAATAGTGAATATTAGGTAGGTAGTTAGGTAATACTTTAATAACTGATCTTTATTTTGATTTACTTTCAACAATAARAAGACTTTAGAAAATATGAATACATTCCTGCTAATTTTCAAAATTTTCATATTCCAAAACTGGTTAAAGAGTATCTGCTATTTTTCGATCAAGGATCATTGATTAATGTTCAACCAATTATTACTCATAAGTTTTTGACTACGAAAGACATGAGTCCTTGACTATCAAATTTTCTCATCCAAAAATGGAAATCAGAAAAAGAACAGGTTTTCAGACTTTTCATCAAGCCTATTACTGAACACTGATAAAGTCATGATAGTGGGGGATTTCAATATTCATGCAGATGTTGAAAACGATAACTTAAATAACTTAAAAATTTAATAAACTTTAATAATTTGAAATAGTCAACTATCTTTACTCAAAATGCCCACAAAAGTACTATTACGCCTAATTGCGTAAATTTCACTGTAACAGATGTGCATCAGTGAATTCTATAAACAAGTTTAAATAAGCTCTTCCAGTATTTTCGAGTAACCCTCAGCTGCGGACCACGTAATGGGGCGGGCTCGGATAATGGGCGGGGTCGGACGTCTGACTCCGCCCTCAAATCATTTGATTGTGGACTGTACGTTTCCTTTCCTCATGTAGCATTTAATAGCATGTACCGCAAGTACTCGGGAGTAWGACAAGGTATAGATCTAAATGAGCGAAGATAATATAAACTTGTATAAAATAGACAGTGTTGTGTTTCCGGTTATAAATAATTTTACGTGCACACCTCCCTATGGCAGATATTTATTTAAGCTTTCCCATACAACCATGTAATCAAACTGTTAAATCACTATCCTGTACTAACACTTCCTGTTTCGGTAACCGGGCATTTCAAAATAAGAGTCTCATACATAACATTACAGACTTTTGCTTTACCAGAACCTAAAATATTATTCAAGTGTCATGATCAAATGTTGCTCGTTATGAATGCCACACAGAGTTTAAGTAGTAATGAAGTAATGATGTGCTGCTAGCTGACTTTCAGGTCTTAATGTCAGATGGTTAAGCTTCATTTATAGAAATTATATATTTCTAGTCCTTTGAAAATGTTGCCATGATGTTCTGACTAATTTTGTTTTTCTCCATAGACACAATTATTTACAATGGAACCACC